CCTTAACAATTTTTTAGCATAAAATGTAAGTGTCAACTGATTTGCAATTGGCATAAAATAGGCAGATAATATAGCGCAAAAGGTGCCTGAAGTGGCGTGCTGTTTATATGCAGGGTACAGCGTTGAAATGATGAAGTTTCAATGAGACAAAATGATACACAAGTGTTTAACATCTATTCAATATATATAATGAACACATTGACAAATTTCACCGCAATAATACATTTAAATTGTCAATGAACACATTGACAATTTAAATGTATTATTGCGGTGAAAACAATAACTACAAAATGGAACAACCAACCAAGCCAAGTCACAGTAACTTTCTGGTGTGGTAATGTCCACCAATAGAGCCTTGTAAAGCAGGACAGCTATATCATGTGAGAGCTAGCTGGTGAGCTAATCATTGCTAGGTTTAGCCCAAACTGAAACTAATTTTACTTAACAGTGTCCCAATACAGTGGCTGTGTCATCTGAAGGATGCAGTCTATAAAAGCTACTTCTTTATAGGCTGTGAAGTTGGAACCAAGCGTTGTTAAATGAGACGGTATGGGGGATTTCCTGTTCGCGTCAGTTAGCCAGTTTCCCGCCTTTACCTTTTGCATTTCGTGTCACGCAGCTGCCTTGACTGCCAAAGTTGACAACTAGAGTAGCAGCTAAGATTTTCGTCATTTGGACAATTTGAAGCTGGAAATGTTGATTTTATTGTTTGTTTGTTTTTCATACTGTTGGAAATGGAGATGACCCAACACTTAAAAGTGTATTTTTCAGCTGCCAGAGTTCCTCTTTTGGAGTCTTCCACACTGTCATTAATGACATCTCCAGCTTACAGTAAATCTTGGGATATGTTGGATATTTATAGACTGAATTTGAAGCAATCTTGGAAATGGAACAGCCTTTAGTGTGATTTAGTTGGTCTTCGAATGCAGAATGGAAAGGATGCCGCGACTGAACTAAGACACAGGTATTGACTTTTTTCATATCTGTTATCTGTAATTAAAAAAAAAAACATTTGATTATGTGAATTGGTAGTGTGTTGTTCCCCAAAAATGAGGCAGCAGTTAAATCCAATCGTGAAAAACAGCTCCAGCTAAAGCTAACTAGCTTAGCACAGAAGCAGTTTCTGCCATTTCCCCTCTTCGCTGCTAAAGTAAAGAGATTTTGACGATTTGTGCCTTCAGTCTATAGAGATTATTCAAAGGCAGGGTGCCCTTTAATCAAATTATTTTTCAGACAATCAAACAAACAAAGCTGATCCACTAATGGTCAGAACCAAAGTCCACCTTCAAAAATCCAAATTCTTTAAGCCTCAGAAACTAAACCAAGAGGATCACAGCTCTCACATTGAACGACACGAAGCAAGACCACGTTATTGATCACTTTGACAACAGAGTGGCACGTCTCCGATTGTTTTTCAACATCACAGCGGATCAATGTGGAGGAGCACTCCAACAGTACAGAAGGGTAAATGATGTCTTCTCTGTTTAGAGACTCGGGGAAATTGACATCCTGCCAGGTTGGAGGAGGCCTGGGTCGATAGATATTGTCATCCCCTCCGGATTTATCATCCATATGGACGTGCTGCCATGTAGGACCTCACTTGTATTTCAGCATATAAGGTGGAGGTGCCAATATTTTGTGATTTATACTGTTGCAGATAATGTCAAAAACTATTTTAGGAAAATGGGTTTAGTATCCAGGAGCATTCATTCACAGCAGGCTCTGGCACTCAAGGCTCGTATGGGGTTTGATAAACTTGTCCACTACGGCACAGAGAGTATTACTGGAGACCATATTCAAGAACATGTATAATGTCAAACACTGAACGTTGTTTTTAAAATAAAAAATAGCACACATTATAAAATCCTACCCTCTAATGTTGTTCAAATATGCCTGTAAAAGTCCAAGCTGGAGCCGTGTTGCTACTGTATCTGGTTTCGAGGTTTTGGAGCTGGTCTGTCCCGTCTGTGATGGATATTTCCCTCAATGAGTGTTAATCTTTAGCACTGAATAGATAAATAAACTCTTAAAGCACATTCTTTGATTCTAGGGAACTCACACCAAAATATGATTTGACACTAGTGTGCAGTTCAGTTTTTTTTAGATATGTTTTTCTCATCACTTCCCACTTTATGTGGATTACACATAAACCTAAATGTTAAAAAAGAAATAAAAATGCAGAAAAAGCACATTAAAGACTTCCAGGGGAGTACTGGAAACGCACTTGCGCAATCAAACTGTAACATCACCAGGTCTTTTTCATTAGTTTTATATTGCAGGAGCTTGTGCTATTCAACCACAGTTCAAATCAACACAAGCATATTTTGAAAGCTTTATTCATTTTCAGCTTGGCACTCCCTCTTTAATTATTGTGCAGGAAAATGAAGGAAAAACTAGCTTTTGAAAAAAAAAAAAAAAGCCTTTATATGCGCTGCAATAACATTGAGAGTTGTTTTTGTAACAGAGCTTTTTACGTGCCTCTAAAAACATCTTTACCAAGCTTGGTCTGGGTTACCAATAGGAAATGTCAAAGTAGAGCCTGAGAATAGTTTAGACATAGAAGAGGTTGTTAATGTATATTCATGCACATGATGGACCACTGCTTCATACTTAATAATACTTATGTTGGTGTCACAGCGACCAAAAACAGATGAAAAGAAGTCAAAATAACGTCCATCAGCGAGAAAATAGCTAATCCAAATATGAGCAAAGAGGCGGAGAATGAGGTAGCCATGCAAACGTATCAGGGCCATGGACTGTCCTGTGGCCGCACCCTTAATTATGCATAACTTTAAGGCTTACTACAGTTTCAGCAGGACAGTTACATGGAGATCTACCATCTGTACAGTTGTCATGAACGAGCAAAGTAACTATAGAGACCAAAACCGTTTTTTGTACCAGGCTGGAAACATGTTTTTCTCTGCTGGAAAGTTGGACATTTTAACATGGAGGTCTATGGGGAGTGAAGTCCGCCTCAAGTGGTGATTTGAGGAATTGCAGCTTTTGACACTTGGTGTTGGCTTCATTTTTCAGCCCTGGAGGTCGCTACTTGGCTGCCACATGAGAAAGTGAGTAAGAAAGAAGACTTACAGTACACATTTTTGTCAAACTGAATCTCTGATCTGTTACCACTGCTTCTGCTGCAGATGATGGCGTGCAATGGAGGAAATGAACCTTCTATTAACTGGTCCTGGCTTACACATCCCAGCTAGAACCAATTTAGAATCTCCACGATCATAATGCTTCTGTCTAAAACAGCATTTTTCCTTGTGGATGCAGCAGTGACGTCTGTTCACCTGAGCAAAACGCACCTGAGCACAAAGCGAAGCTCCACGGTTCGGAAAAGTGAGGAGTTGATGCCCTGACAGGCTGAAGTATGCGCAACCTGCACAATCACAGTGATTCACCAGGATGAAATATTGTGGAATGCAAGATAATTAGCAAAGAATGTTAGCTTTCTAAACCACAGACTCACCATCTCCTACAGCACAGTGCCCTGAGGCGGAGACGACTACTTTGTGACTTAATATGCTATCAGCGATTTAAACACAACGACCGCCAACTACTGCATTTTCATGTGAAGTTCTGCATTTCTCTCTCAATAAACATCTAAAATTAATAAACTTTCCATCCTTTCAGAGGAAAATTACATTTAGTGAAGCATGTATAAGAGAACATGTGTACCTACTATGTAGTGAAGCCATCCAACATTACACTGGCACCAAAACCATCATGGAGAGAGAAAAAAAACTTGTCTGCATTCCAGCTCCTCGAGCTCAGAGATACCCTCGGGAACTAAAATAATAATTTGGACTGAAAGCAACTTCATATTGTGGTGTGTTGGGATACATGGAGGCAATAGGCCAAAAAGTGGCCTAAAAAATAAATAAATGGCAACAACGTATGTTCGCTGGTGGATTGAACAAACCTGCAGAACTTTATTACTGAAGTTTTATTGAAATAACAGTACAGCCATAAACTTTCATTTTATTCATCTTGTATATGTTTCTATGGTCTGATCATCAGTGAGTATTTTGGGGGGAGCAGCTCTGGTACATGTGCATTCTATCACAGGGATGTAGATATTTTATTTCATTTTTATTGTATTTCTATGAAAATATCATCCTCAGGCTTTCTTGGCAAGAGTCAAGAACAAATCCCACAGACATATGAATCCAAAATCCTGACCTGTAGCTCTTTTTCATTCCAGCATTCGCTTTATACATTTGTGACTTTTGACATTTCTAAATATAATTCTGTAACCGTTTGTAATCTGCAAAAGAGAACGTCTACAAGCTGATGTTGGTCCGGATTACTGCATGTTTCCCACAGTTCACTACATATGTACCGACGCACACGAGGAGTAAAGAAATAGAGAAAGCTGATGACACCTGTCTGCCCCAGTTGGCCCCCGAGTGACAAGGTTAAATGTGTGCATCATGTTTGGCTCCATAAGGCTGTGTGGTCAGACTGGCTGCTCAGACAGCAGGTGGCCTCGCAAAGCTGCAGCCAGGCAACAACCTGGAGCTCCTTCTAGTAAAGGTTCCAAATATACAGCAAGTTTAATGGTGGATGTGGTGATTTAAAGGGGAAATGAAGGGAAATTACATCCTGGGTCTACAATCAAAAACTAATATCCCCTCTTCATCATTTCCCAAATGTTTTCTCCTCCTCCAGTGCATTAAATTCAATTAAACTAACGACCATATTTCTGAGAAATTGCTCTCAAAATAAGCTCATATTCTCTGTCAGCTCGGAGAGGAGAGGCTGCTCTGTGCCGGTTAATTATTTTTCGCTGTTGTTCCAGTGTGGCACGAGCTGAGGATGGAAGGGGCGTGTGTTTGATAAACAGGGCGTGGATTTGGCAGTCGGACGGGAAGGGGGTGTTGAGGGTTTCCTATAGAGCCGCTGCCAGGGAGCCACGGGAGCGCACAGGAGGCACGGAGCGCTGCGCAACGCGTATTTACAGCCACGATCTGAGCGGGGAACTTCGCTCAAGTTGATTCAGGGCGATGCTGATGACTGAGAGCAGGTAAAAAACATAAGCCGAGGAACATGTGGAGCCTTTTTACGCACCGTGGGAGAGTTTTGCGCCACTTGCTCCTGTGGCACAAACATGCTTTTTTAAAAGTGCTCTCTGTTTGAGTAACTTTTTTTAAAATTTGAAGACAGTAGTATGAAGTCACCAGATCTGGCATGTTTCCTGCGTTGTGTCCTCATGCTCAGGATTGCGACCCATGGGATGTAGTAAATGGAGAGTTGCGTTCAACTTTGGACACCTGAAGGCGCAGTCCAAGCTGTCCGTCTTCTTTACCATGATCATTCTCTTCACGTATCTCTTCTACTGCCTCAACGGATTCTGTGACTCCCTGCCCAGGCCTGTGTACGACCAGCAAAGTAATCTCAAAGCCATCCTAAATGATGGACACGAAGCGGAGCAGCTCGGCGCGTATAACGCGTCCCCGGTCTCGTTCGTCCGGGAGCAACTGTCGGACTTGTCGAACGGCGAAGCTCCTTCGAACAATATTTCTATAGCTAATAATTTTGGCAGCAAAAAGTACCCCCAGGCCATCATCATCGGGGTGAAGAAAGGCGGCACTCGGGCTCTGCTGGAGTTCCTGCGCATCCATCCGGACGTGAGAGCCGTGGGCGCAGAGCCGCACTTCTTCGACCGCTTCTACGAGAGGGGACTGGAATGGTACAGGTAAAGGCGACTTTTAAAAATGATTTTGACACAAGAATTTATGAAATACTCCCTAAAGTGGAAAATAAGTGTAATAATAACAAACTGTAAAGGTGAAAGTTGAAGTCAGAGGTCATGAAATAGAAGTTGAAGCTGCTGATGTCACTTTCAAATTTGGAATTTATGTGCGTAAAATGCAGGTTGGCCATTTATGTTGAGTTTATGCAGTGGATTTGTGGAAGTGTGGAGACTTTGATTTAATATTACTTGATACAAAATAAGTCAGTAAAGTATTAATAGATTAAAATACACTAGAGTGGTGTATCTACAGGAGGTCATGCTGAGGAATTAAAAAGGGCCCAATCCTGTCTCTGATCTCCTCTGGAATATTTTCTTGTAAATTTGCTCTGTCATGGAAACTGCAAGATATCAGCTTTTATCTTCACTAGTTTCCGTTTAGTGCAGCTTGTCTGACCAGTCTGATTGGGTTAATGCCTGATTAGGCAGATGCTGGGTAAATAGACCTTGAGCTCATTTATGTGTCTGTTTGACTTTCAAACTACAAACCGTGTTTCAACATATACATGAACAACAGTTTGAAGATGTTGAATTGAGAAGCAGATAAATACTTTCATTATCTTACTTTTTTCTTCAAACTGGAGCCACATTAAACTGGTATTTATTTCAACTACTCGAGCATCGTAGCTATTTTCTAGTCCCCTTATCACAGAAAGAAATCACATATTAGTGACTGATCGCAGTGTAAGAACAAGCGAGCTAATTCAAATACACTCTCCCCTTATTACTCCACAGAAAGTCTGTTTTTTTATAGGCAAACATGTCATTCCATCCCGAGGAGATCAATCCCTCTCCTCCTTCTCTTCATTAATATCTCTCAGCACCAATAAGACGCTGTGCTGATAGCTTCCAAGGATGGCAGCGTATTCAGTCCCCTGCCAATAAATTGCTGTTTATTGAGCTGACACGCTGCTTCCCTAAGTGTCCATGTTGGTCCCCTGAGAGCCTTCGCCGCTACCAGCCTCTGATCACACACAGGGAGGATGGGTCGCTGGAGGTGACGGCGGTGCGGTTGACCCTTTAAAGCAAGTGGCCAAGGTGGATGGAGATTTTTCTTGAGGCACAAATAGATGTAGAAAACAAATTCAGTCGTTTTCGGGTTGTTCGCATGCAGAGAAAGACATTAAAGCTGGCACCTAAATTAATGAAATGGATGCATGTTGTGTTGGAGGAAGCCTTATATTTTGATAGATGTGTCTGGTGGTGAGAGACATAAGGGAGGGACAGTAGAGGAACTGTTAGAGAGGAGGGCTAGGGAGGACACGACAGTTTGATAAAGAGAGGAGATAGAGGAGAACGTGGTGGTGTGGCAGGAAAACGTAAAGCGAGAGAAGAACTCACAGCGAGTGATCAATAGAGCCGAGTAATGATCAGTTCGGGCTCAGGTGGAACAGCAATAAGAGACGTCAGAGATCAAAGTGTGTGTGCACAAGTGCTGCTTGGCTTTGTTATTACATAGTGTAGGTTTCAGGAAGAGGAAGAGGAAGAGGCCTCTGCAGCAACACAGGCTGCGGTGAAACGACTGCTCGGCAATAAAGGTGTGAGTTACGTGGACAGCAGCTTCTTCAGGTAGTTCAAGGGTAAAAGCTTCTGTTAATAATCACTAAAACAGAAGCCCTGAAACTGTTTCAGCACAGACAGGTTATTAAAGTAGTGGTGAAGCTTGTAAAAATGCATTAATTAATTAAAAATCAATTCGTTTTCTCAATTTTTCCGATCATAATTCTCTGGAATCCAAACTGGCATCTTCAGATCGATCCTTTCATCCAACCATAACCTAGAAGATATTCAACTTACAGAAAAAAGCAGCCTCACATTTCAGAAACAGAGAATATTTTACATTTTGCTCAACAATTACTTATCTACTGAGTTGTAGAATATTAATTCTGTCGATTCATTAACTGATTAATTGTACAAAGTGGGTCATACTTGTTGGAAATGTGTATCAAAGATGCAAAACCTTCTCCAGTTTTCATTTGAATGTAAAGACAAAACTATAGAAAAAAGCTTCACCTTGCTTCCTTCTTGACTTTCTTCCTTTCCTCATTTTATTTTTTTCCATCATTCCTATCATACGTTAAAATATAACAGAGATCACAGATGCTTTAAAGAGGTATAGCACACTTAAATGCACAATTTACTGTTTTAAATCATTTGAAACCTTGCAGTGTCAATGCTGATGCCATTTGGAACTTATTTATACCAAATAAAAGCGTGTTAACACCCTTCCTCAGCCCCCCACCCTTAAGTAAGAAGTCTATGAAATCAAATACGATCTGGTCGACACTCAGCATCCACAGCAGTTTGTTCTTTTTTTAAAAATTTGGCAAAACGTTTCGGACTTCTGCTTTCGACGGTTGCAGAAGCAGCACCAGACTGCATTCTTTTCCCTCAGATCATCATCCCACCCTCCTTCTAACTCACGTCATGCTACCACTCAGACACTGCTGCCATCCTGTCTTTGCGTTGCCTCGACTCGGGGCTTCAGGCTGGATCCACGGCTCAACCCGATACGACTGTGGACCACCGTGATCCTCCACCGCACTAATGACTGTTTTAGAGGACGCTGAAAAGTGTCTCCATTTTTCTCTGTTCAGGGGATGTCACTGAGAAACTCCTCGTACAATCATGCCTGCTCCTTGCCTGCTTTTTAGCGTTTTTCAGAATTATGCAGTCGGTGGAGTTAAACTAAGAGGCTAAGTTAAACTTCCAATATCGTAATTTTTGCAGGTATTAGATACGAGCTGCAAATGGAGACTTTACAGATTTTACTCATGATGATCAGTTCGTCACCAGGATGGGATACGGAACACATCATATCTTGTGTTGCCTTCAAGGAGCTTAAAAAAAAAAAACGAAGCTGAGTACCTGATCAGAGTTATCTCAGCTTTGGGCTTTAGACTGAGAAGTTTAAACTGAAATGCTGAGATAAAACTGGAGGCGTAGAGTTTGAAAGAAAAGATCATTTATAAGAAGGGTAGTTTTAATGAATAATCCTGCTGAGCTGCTTTTGATGGTAAATGTAGGATCCATTCTCAGAATATCTCCTCTGCTCTGATCCGACTATAAAAAAGTCTAAACTGGAACGTATATATAAGTTGGCTTATATTTGGCAAGTAAATACTTGCATGTCTGCCGATATTTGGTCCAATCTTTAGGCCTTGTAGTCGATTTTTAAATGCATATTTCTGGGCCGGAGACGTTAAAAAAACTGTAAATGTCAGGATTTGCACTTGAAGTCTGAATGATGACAAAGTACTACTGAAGAGGATTAAAGTTGAGAGAACCAGTGACCTTTACGTGCTCCTTTAACTGCTTTCTGTTGATAGGAAACTGACCTTACCATGTAGTCTTTTACCACAGACATGATGTAAAACACCTCTGCTTTTTTTTTTCTCTCTCTCTTCCCCGTCTTTTTTCTTTTTTCTTTTGAGGCTATAATGAAACGTGTGTTTCTGCTGCCTCCTAATCCGCTGACAGCTCGTGTCAACGCCGTGTGAATTGGACCGGTGTAATGACAGGTCAGGCATTAACATGGACAGCTCAGGGACGTACGAAGGGGCTGAGACGGATTAGGCCCCCAGTTGCAGTTAAACAAGGCCCTACCAAGCATTAGTCAACACCTCCATCCATCCTCCCCCCTCACCTCAAGCCATGATGAGCCCTTCAGTGCAACAGGGGGAGCTTATGGTACCCAGGGGCGGTGTAGTCCTCCACATTTCAGACAGGCTATAAGACTTTATATGAGACAGATAAATGTTCAGAGCAAATACAGGTAACTTGTCGTCCAATGATTCCCAACCAGAGTGTGTATACCCCAGTGGGTGCTAAACCCGTACAGCTAAAATGAATCAATAAATAGTTTAAATGGATTGCTGAAAGTTGTCAGTTTTTTTTGTTTGTTTGTTTCACAATTTCATAGAGAAAGGTTTGCTAGAAGTCAACAAAGTATCCAAAAGGACATCGCTAAATACATAAAATGTTCAAATAGACAGCTAAAAGTAACGGATAGGCATTTGGTTTGTCTATTTGCGCAACATGAAATAGAAATGTTGGCTTAAAGCTCACAAAATGGCAAAAATAAGCTAAAGGATGTAGCCTTTAGCCATAACGGAAAATGTTTGAAACAGTTTGCTAAAAGTAGTAGATAACTAGTTAAAATAGATCCGTTAAAGTAATTAAAAGTGTTTAATTAGTGTTTGTTTGCACAATTTTAAATAGAAATGTTAGCAAAAACTTAGCTC